ACAACTAAGTTAGTATAGACAATGTGGAGTAATCTCTAGACATCTTTTGTCTTGAGTGTAACAATGGAAAAAGACTATGGCTTCTAGTCATGTGATGGTATCCAGGTACTTGGTTCATCTGCGTGTTGAGCTCCTAAAGGGATATCACTGTTAAAGTGGTAACAAAACACAGAGTATTAGCTTGGACCTCTTCCTTACTTATCAAGTGGCATTGGAAATATGCCATCACCCCTCCCTTATTTAAACCTATCTGCACACCAAGAATTGGAAAAACTTCAGGCAAGTTAAATTTCCAGGCCCACAGACTGTTCACCAGCACCAAGGTAAGAAACAGTGATTCATTAGGGCTTTTTTGTGCGTAGAAGGTAATTAACCCAAACTAGTAAAGGCAGAATTACCTCAAGGCTCTCAAAAGAGCACTTCTGCTCCGCCTGACCCCACTGTGTCATGATTTTAATAACTTAGAGGGTATCCTCTTCTTCCTCAAATACCACTAAGCCATAAGAATTCCATGGAAATCATTGGAATAAAATTATTATATTTTAATGATAATCCTGCTCGTGACAAGGTCTGCCTCTGACAGGGCATCGGGCTATAGAGGTCCACAGTACAGAAAAAGGCCTTCAGCATTTTGACGAAGGATAAAGTTTTAGTGAGTGGGAAGCTTAAATGAAAACCTGTGCTGTTTAAAATCAAACTGTATGACTTGGAAGAAAATTAAAGGTTATTATTAAGTAAGTTATAATGGAGCACTTATAAAAATTCAAGGTAATTAAGCAGAGTCAACATCATTTTGTAAATGGAAAATTGTATTTCTAGAATTCCTTTGAAGAAGGAACATGTGCTGTGGATAAAGGGCACCTGGTGAATATACTGTGCTGATTTTCAGGAAGTATTTTATGAGGAACCACGTGAAAATTAAATCCAGAAAATAAAAATGGTATAGAGGGTAACATATGGCATGTATAGAAGATTCACTAACTGAAAACAGAGAGTACAGTAAGCATAAATAGGCCATTTTCTGGTTGGCAAGGTGGAACAAGTGGTTTGCCAGAGGAATCTGGAGATGGGCTTCACCCCTTTTCCAATTTATAACTAAATGACTTAGACAAAGGGAGAAAGATGTTGTTTCTAAATGTATTAATGACATGAATAGATAGGAATATACATTGTGAAAAGGACATAAGGAGGCAGCTAAGGAATATAGATAGATTAAATGACTGAGCAATGACCTATTTTGCCAGGAAAAAAACTTTATAAGTTATGTATCTAAATGGTGAGAGTTTTCGGAGTCTGAGATGCAGAGGGATCTGGGTGTCCTCAAACATGAATTACAAGAGTTTTTTCTGTTTATTCATTCACAGGATGAAGGTGTCGCTGTCTAGGCCAGCATTTATTGTCCATCCCTAATTGCCCATAAGGCAGTTAAGAATCAACCTCATTGCTGTGGGTCTCGAGTCATATGTAGGCCAGACCATGTAAAGATGACAGTTTCCTTCCCTAGAAGACACCAGTGAGCCGGATGGGTTTTTGCCACAATCAACAGTGGTTTTATTTTAGCTATTAGGCTCTTAATTCCAGTTTTATATTGAATTCAAATTCCACCAGCTGCAATTGGCTGGGTCTCTGGATTACAGTCCGGTGACAATACCACTAGGCTATCACCTCCCCAATAAAATATTGGTACATGCACACAGCAGGTAATTTGAAAAGCTAATCTAATGTTATTTATTACAAGAGAAATTGAATACAAAAATAAGGAGGTTATGCTTCAGTTATACTGGATATTGGTTGGACCACATCTGGAGTACTGTATACAGTATAAATCTCCTTATTTAAGGAAGAATATGTTGGAAGCAGTTGAAAGAACGCTTACTAGACTAATATCCGAAATAAGTGGAATACTTCACAGTGAATGATTGGACATGGTAAGTTTGTATCCTCTGGAATTTAGAAGAGTGAGAAGTGACCCAATTGAAACATACAGGAGCCTGAGGGACTGGATGGACATGAAAAGGACGTTTCCTCTTGTGGGAGAATCTGGAACTAGGGGTCACTGTTTAAAAACCAGGGGATGCCCATTAAAGACAGAGATGAGAATTGTTTTCTCACATATTTGGAATTCTCTTCCTCAAAATGTAGTGGAACCAGAGGTTTTGATATTTTATCGAGGTAAATAGATTCTTATTGAGGAAGAAGCAGAAAGATTATGAGGGTAGATAGGAATAAGAAATCAGATCAATCAAATGAACAGTGGAGCAGATCAAGTACTCCTAATTTGCATCATATAAATGAAGCATGCATTTAGATAAAGAATCTTTAACTCCATTTTTTAAACAATTTTCCCCACTCTGACCTTTCTTGCTAGTGCGCTGTTAGATTTATACACTCCACCCAGGCTCTGACATTTCTGTGGCAGGTGGTAAAAATGAGAGAGTCAGCTATTCTCAATGCAGAGTTGTATCCCTCAAGCTACACCCTCTAGCAACAGGGTTCCATGGAAAACCAGCTATGGAAACAAATGCTTTGTGAGCCTCAAGTGTCAATAAACAAGAGATGTTTTAGGCTAGGTGATGGAAATTGAAATTAAGTCAATCATTTTTAAATATTTATTTGTGGGTGTGCATCGCTGAAGCCAGCATTTATTACTTATCTCTAATTGACCTTATGATTATTTGAGTGAGCCACCTTCTCGACTTTCTGCAAACTGTGAGATGTCGGTGTGAGTAGTCTCACAGTGCCATTAGTAAGGGAGTTGCTGAACTCTGACCCACTGATAGTGAAAGAACAGTGATATAGTTCCAAATCAGAATGGTGTCTGAGCAAAGCTCACAGCAGGTGGGATTCCAAGGCACTGGCTGTCTTTGTTCTTTTCAGATTTCGCCACTTTTGAAGAAGTCTTAATGAACTGCCATCGTATATCTTGCAGATTGTACAAACAATAAGTAAGATGCATCTTTGATGGGTCAAGTGAGTGCATAGGTGGTAGATGGGATGCAAATTAAGCAGACTGTTTTGTCCTCGATCAAATCAAACTTCTTGATTGATTTTGGAGCTGCACTGACATATCCATCACTCTGCTTTGCACATATTGGAAATAGTTTAGGGAGTCAGGAGATGGAATGTTTGCTGCAGAATAAGGAGCCTCTGATATATTCTTACGGGTCCTTAGATAGCACCTTCCAAACCCATGATGACTACCATTTTAGAGGGATAAAGACTGCACATGCATGAGAACATAACCACCCGCAAGTTTCACCATCTTGACTTGGAAATATATCACTGTTCCTTCAGTGTCGCTGGACCAAAATCGTGGAACTGCCAAATAGCATTTTGGGTCAATCTACAGCAAAAGGCAGCCCATCACCACCTTCTCAAGGTCAACGAGATTGTCAACAAATGTTGGCCAGCATCCCATGAAGAATAAAAAACGGCAAATATTCATGACCGTTCCAATTAAGCTTCTGGTTAATAGTGACCTACAGGATTTTAATGGTGGTGGATTCAGCAATGATAATCCCATTGAATGTCATTGAGAGGTAATTAGATTTAAATTCAATTTCTGACTGGAGATAACCATTACTTAACAGTTGTGTGTCACAAATTTTACTTGCCATGCATCAGCTCGAGCCTGAATGTTCTCCAGGTCTTGATACATACAGACACAAACTGTTTAATTAATAAGTGGAATTATGAATGGTTTTGAGCACTGTGAATTCATCTGTGAATATCCTTACTTCTGTCTTTATGATTGAGGAAAAGGTCAAAAAATGATTCCTAATGGAAGGTCGCCAAACTAAAACATTAATTTTTCTCTTTCCACAGATACTGCCTGAGCTGCTGAGTACTTGCAGCATGTTATTTGTTTATATTAGCACTAGTTACATGTGCCATTGAGATTCATGAGATTCTAGAGCAGAGCTGATAGTGGACCAGCAAGTAAGTATATTGCAAGGGTATTATTACTGGAGGCTGAATTTTTTACAATCAGTATTAGGCAGTGCCTTTAGCTCGGCAGCTCGAGCAGATCCAATCCTTGTAATTGGCCACTGCTGGCATAATTTGTCGGTGCAACCAGGCTAAGCCCTTGAACAAACCTACCTTGGTGCTGGAAACTGATGCACGGATATTCTTTGTCAGCCTCAAACTCAGGGTGTTAGGACAATACAACTCACAAACTTGTCATTCCTATTCCTGGATCAAACCTGTGCAAAGGAACCATGCAAGTACTGTACATGGCTCTACATAGCATTGTATGCCATGGGCATGTAGAGTGGACAAGGATAGTAAGAACACGCTCTTTAAAGATAAACCACATTGTTTTAGCTGGTAAAATTAAAGTAGAACCATCCAAAGCATGTGGGGCTCCTAAGATTTAGCTGCTCAACTTAGGAAAACAGATCATATCATTATGATTTTAGGGTAGTAATTCCAATGTAGATACCTGGAACTCTACCTACTTGGATTCCCCCAAAACGTGGCTTTGTATATGATTAAGTATAACTTTCCCTGTACTAGATACCCAGCTGACCGAAATCAAATTGAAAATACTATGGTATTTTGCGAATGTAAAAATGGAGAAACAGGGAATGAGAAAAGGCAATACACAAAAGACTGCATACAAGAGCAAAGAATGATGAATTAGTAGGACTCCATCTTAGCTGAAAAGCCCACTGCTTGCTAAGGTACACTGCTTGCAGCATTCATGATATATTTGGGGTAAGATTGACCACCCCACCTAAGAACGAATAAACACTTATGGCTGACCCAGAGTTAACACCCCTGTCTAAGATCATTTTAAAAGTGCCCAACTGTTTTAATGGGAGATGCAGAACAATGCCCTGCATTTCCAAAGTCATCATTGCAGAAAATGCCACGTTTCCAAACACTCTTGGATTCTTGTTCTTTCTGTAACACCCTGGATGCCACGTGCCATCCAGGTGTCAACCTGCAAAACGTCGCGAGACTTTGGTCTGTATGTCACAAAAGGGGCAGGTGCGCCAAGGCGCGGGGCTGACTGTGTCTAGGTTCCAGGGCCGTGGGAACGTGCCATGGGTCGCAACTTGCTTGGCTCATTTTCCTGGGGTTGAGGGATATCTGCTGTTTCTTCCGCCAAATGACATTTTAACGCCTTTCCAGTTCCTCTTGGACAAATGTTGTCAAATTTCAAAAAAAAATTATTTCTTTACATCTTTATTTTTGAGACTATCCGGAACCCGGCGTTAATGAAGAAACCTGATGCAGACACTAGCATAGGTAAGATGTTCATTGTCTTATTTATTAGCATTTTACTTCGTATTAAAATAATTGTCTTTTTGGCTTTTTGTTAGAAGTAAGTGTATCGTTTGCATCAAACCTTGTTCAAAACAGAAATGTAGGATGTAGGTCGGAATTTATGATTAAAATAATTGGTTTACATCTTTTTTTTTGCTTCCTCGGTGCAAGTGGTGAAATGAATATTCAGTATTTGTATTGTTTGCTAGGCGTCCCAATAACCAAATTAGGTTCACTCGGTCTCGTTTTTTTTTCAACTCTGATTCTTTCGGCCGTCACATCAGATTTACTCATTGACATTTCTTAATCTTTCTTCACCTGTGGTAAAGTGCAGGCATGACCTTGTGTTGTTTTCCTCCTAGATGGAATATTTTATCTCAGGAATATAAATTAACATTGCATATGCTTGACAGATATTTTTCTTTGTTTGTGTGGGGGAGGGCAGGGTGTTAATAATGCCATTATAAATACATCTTCTAGGCCTTAATTTCTGAAATTTCTTCACTAATGCTCTCCACCTCCATACCTCAGTTAGCTTCAAGATGTTCTTCAAGACTTTTTTGTTAAGCAAGCTTTTGTTCACTTCTGCTAATGTCTCCTTCTTTGGGTATCAGTTTTTGCTTGATTACACTTTCATGAAATACTTTGTCACATATTTGCTACATTAAACACACTATTTAAATGCAGGTTGATATTGGACATGAAGGTCGGAGTTCACTGCATGCAATGACTCATTTAAAAGACTTATTCATTCACTAAACCCTCCTTAGAAAAGAGGACCTCCTCATATCATAGAATCCCTACAGTGTGGAAATAAGCCCTTTGGCCCAACAAGTCCACACCGACCCTCTGAAGAGCATCCCACCCACATCCATCCCCCTACGCTTTCCCTGTAACCTTGCATTTCCCATGACTAACACATCTAATCTACAGATCCCTGAACATTATAGGAATTTAGCATGGCTAATCCACCCAGCCTGCACACCTTTGGACTGTGGGAGAAAACCAGAGCACCCAGCAGAAACCCACGCAGACACGGGGAAAATGTGCAAATTCCACACAGACAGTCGCCCAAGGTTGGAATCAAATCCGAGTTCCTGGCGCTGTGAGGCATCAGTGCTCACCACTGAGCCACTGTGCCTCCATGCCTCCATGTCTCTTGTGTCTCATTTTCTCTGTAATTCTGAAACGTAATTCTTTAAGGGTGAATGCAGAAACTGTGTTTCCTCTGGCTTGGGATGTCTAGAACAAGGGTATGCAATGTCAGAATTATGGGCAAGCTGTTTTGGACTGAACTACTGAGTTCTTAGAACTAAAAGGCTAGTGAATCTTTGGAATTCTCAATCCCAGAGCAGTGGAAGCTTAGTCATTGAGTATGTTCAAGACAGAAATTTATGAACTAATAATTATTAATAATGCTAAAAAGGGATATAGAGATATCCCATGAAAATGGCATTGAGTTAGATGATTAGCCATGATCTAGGATGGTAGAATTTATTAATATACCATTTCAAGGACTGTGATTTTTAACAATATTTGATCAGCCTGTTCAGATGTGCTATGATGCAGTCTCCAGGACATTTGGAATGTTTACCCAGAGATCACAATGCCACAAGACTCCTAGAGCAGTGATTTTAAACATATGTAGACGAATAACAATAAGAAGCCTTAAACTATTATGTGATATATTTCTCACAATTTCAAGAAAAAGTCGTTTGTCCTTGTGGTCATATATGAAGCAGGAAACGTATGGGCAAAATGTGAAGGTGGGCTGCGATAATAGATATAAGTTAATGCTTTCCGTGAAGAGAAACTGAACTCAAATCATCAACTCTGCTTTCTCTTCACAGATGCTGCTAGATTTGCTGAGTTTCTCCAGCAATTTCTGTCTTTGTTTCAGTAATTCCATTACTTAGAGAATTGGGAAGTACTACAAGTATAATCCATTCCAAGGTTTCCGAATATTGTCTGCTGTGTCCTGCAGAGGACCTGATAGTTGTGCACTTGGGAGGACCACTATTAATTGTACTTCCACCCTAGAAGGTATGGAATTCAAATCTGTTGAAACATGGAAGCCCTTGATGTTATATAGCACAATTCTCTTAAGGTTTACAATCAGTGCTGTGTGGAGTTATCAGTAGCAGACAGGATATTGAATTTCACTTGCAGTATGATTTAGTATTATTAAAACATGCTATTTTACCCAAACAACTTGACTGTGGTTAGGCTTTGCTTAGAAAATTGAGCCCATTTTTGGTCACTGCACTAAGTGATTCAGAGGCATTGGGAAAGATTTAGTGGAGAAACACGATAATTGTACCAATCTGAAAAATCTTAATTACCTAGATGGATTTTTTAAAAAAAGTCGTGTCGACGTTCAAGGAGTGATATTTAAAATAATTAGGGAAACAAGCTTTTAACGTTGCCATGCTATTTCAGTGAGGAAAGATAGGAGAGATGAGAGGTCATGCTTCTAAATTGCCAAAGAATGGAATTAGGCTATAAATCATAAGATTATTTTCCTAGAGGATAATGAGCCTACAGAATAAGGTACATTTGGAAAAATGCTTATTGGCTGCATGCCTTTAAAAGACAGTTTGGGGCAAGTCCTGGCTCAGGCAGCTATCATAGCATATAAAATTAGCTGCAATATCAGTTAATGTGGTCAATGTGATTTCCTGAATCAGATATGCTTACCTAATGGTGTTTTACAGAGTTGTACGGACACTTTTTCCCTGAAAGCTTCTTTTTTTGCATCATTTAGAGTTGATGGTATGAGAGTTTTGTGAATCAAATTTTCTAACAGGTATCATTTTATGGAATAGGCTTCATGGACTAGCTGGTCATTTCCTGTACATTTTAATTTTCTCATGAGGACAAAAAGATTGCAACAAGTTGGGCTAATTGTACTTAAGGGGATTCTCAACTTCAAGATATGGAACAGGTTGCAGCATGATCTATGTCCAACAACCATGCATCCCCTGATTCTGTCCATCTGGTTAGCTACTGTTTCTCAGAATGGCTGTTTAAAGGTTTTCTTGCTGAGTTTTTTAAATTGCATACCTTTCTCTATCTCAGGTTCACATTGATGATGTGACAAATGGAAGATTTGGCATTTGGGACAGTATGCATTATCCTCGCTAACTAAAGCTTTGCCTCTGATGCAGTGGTGTCGTGGTAATGTCACTGGTCCAGCAATACAGTAAGCCCCAAACTAGCGTTCTGTGGACAGGTGTTTGTATCCCATCACAGCAAACAGTGAAATTTGAATTCAATAAAATCTGGAAGAGAGAGCCAGGTTGTGGTGACTGTGTCATTAAAACCTTGTGTTGTTCAGAGAGGGAAATCTGCCTTAGCTAGTCGAGCCTAAATGTCATTCCAGATCCACTGTGGTGTAGTTGACGCTTAACTGCCCTCTGAGAAATTAGGGATAGGCAATAAATGCAAGCCTAGTCAGCGACACCCAGTCCTATGAATTAATTTTGAAAAAAGATGATCCATAAAGGACAAGGTGTAGAGCTGGATGAACACAGCAGGCCAAGCAGCATCAGAGGAGCAGGAAAGCTGACATTTCGGGCCAAGACCCTTCTTCAGAAATGGGGGAGGGTAAGACTCCATTTTCTCCCCCTTGGTCCAGGAACTCCCTACCTACGTCCGTGACACCACCCACGCCCTCCACCTCCTCCAAAACTTCCAATTCCCTGGTCCCCAACCATGGATGTCCAGTCCTTATACACCTGCATTCCCCATGCAGATGGCCTAAAGGCCCTCTGCTTCTTCCTGTCCAGGAGGCCTGACCAGTCCCCCTCCACTGACACCCTCATCCGCTTAGCCGAACTCGTCCTCACCCTCAACAACTTCTCTTTCAATTCCTCCCACTTCCTACAGACGAAGGGGGTGGCCATGGGTACCCACATGGGCCCAAGCTATGCCTGCCTCTTTGTAGGTTACGTGGAACAATCCCTCTTCCGTAGCTACACTGGCCCTAAACCCCACCTCTTCCTCTGTTACATCGATGATTGTATCGGCGCCGCCTCGTGCTCCCACGAGGAGCTGGATCAGTTCATCCACTTCACCAACACCTTCGACCCCAACCTTAAGTTCACCTGGACCATCTCTGATACCTCTCTCTCCTTCCTCGATGTCTCTGTTTCCATCTCTGGCAACCACCTGGAAACCAATATCCATTTCAAGCGCACCGACTCCCACAGCTACCTAGAATACACCTCCTCCCACCCACCTTCCTGCAAAAATGCCATCCCCTGTTCCCAATTCCTTCGCCTCTGCCGCATCTGCTCCCAGGATGAGGCATTCCACTCCCGAACATCTCGGATATCCTTGTCCTTGTTTTTCAAGGACTGCAACATCCCCCCCCACTCAGTGGTCGAGAATGCCCTCAACCGTCTCTCCCGCATTTCCCACAACTCATCCCTCACACCCCCTCCTCGCAATAACAACCAAAACAGGATCCCCCTCGTCCTCACGTACCACCCCACCAACCTCTGGATCCAACGCATCATCCTCCGACACTTCCGCCATCTGCAATCCGACCCCACCACCAAAGACATTTTTCCCGCTCCACCTTATCTGCTTTCCGGAGGGACCACTCTCTCCAGGACTCCCTTGTCCGCTCCACACTCCCCTCCAGCCCCACCACACCTGGCACTTTTCCCTGCAACCGCAGGAAGTCCTACACCTCCCCCCTCAACCCCATCCCAGGCCCCAAGAAGACTTTCCACATCAAGCAGATGTTCACCTGCACATCTGCTGATGTGGTATACTGTATCCGCTGTTCCAGTTGTGGCCTCCTCTACATCGGGGAAACCAAACAGAGGCTTGGGGACCGCTTTGTGGAGCACCTACACTCGGTTCGCACTAAACAACTGCACCTCGCAGTCGCGAACCATTTCAACTCCCCCCCCCCCCCCCCCCGCCCCCCCCCATTCCTCAGATGACATGTCCATCCTGGACCTCCTGCAGTG